TTTAATTGCTACTAATTTACAAATTCATAAACAAATACTAACCTAAGAGACAGAGTGTGTGTAAACCGGACTTTAGATTAGAGCAGATTTTATCGAAAAAACTGTTTGGTTTCCAACTGTCGGTCCAAAAGGGAATCGAAACGATTTCCCCGAAGTTATACAACTGAAGACCAGAAGCACCGCAAGCGTTGATAATCGACGCGTTGTGTATCAGTCGGTGTCGAACCCCCTTCTGGTGCGCCCTTAGGATCAGGTCTGTATGAGTTGTCGCTCTGTTTGTGTCCACGAGTTATCATTAAAAGAGATCCAAATCATTGTCTGACAAATGTTTGTCTCACCCGAGAGGGTCTCCGACCACAAGAAAGGCCACATCATTATCGATAGCATCGGTCAGTATATCATCGGAAGACTGTTCCACAAAATCTCTGTCAGCGATCACTACTTCTCTGCCGTAAAACTCTTCCTGTAATTCAATCAATAAAAATCAGAAGTTATTGATAACAAAAATATCACAATTCAAACACTGATTACAAGAGTTTCTTTGGGAACCGATAGTATGGAAGTGTAGGCCTCGAGAAACACGTGTTTGGCTTTGCGGACAATTTCGAGACCCTTAACAGTGATGTCTTTGGCATCGCCTAAACCCAAACCAATCAAATATAACATGATTTTTGTGGACAACTATTAAAAGGCAATGTTTTTGTGTTTTTAAAAGACGTGAAACTTTTTGTTTGGCACCAATTCGTCACTCAATTACGTTAACAATCGCTCACTCTTTGAGAACCCCTTTCCATATGTTATGCAAACTAATTGTGATCTCATATCAAATGTATCACTCGTTTACACCTATGGTTAGGGTTTCCGCCGAATCGAGTCGTGAATCAAAAACTAATTCATTAATTCATAAATAAAATTGAAATTTCAAAACAATAACAAGAGATAAATGTGTGAGAAATGGGTGTATATATGAAAAGAAATTCATATGAATGCGATAATAGGCAGTGTGTGTGGTGTCCGCCCCCGCAATGGATGGGCGATATGATAGATGGGGGTATAGATTGGGCTACACTTGCAGTCACAGACACCACATTTCTCATTAGAATGACCAGATGCGTTTTGCTCAATTCTACATTTTATTCAAAATTTAACAATATTCCTGAACAAATTCCGGACAAATATGATCAAAAACTTGACAAATTCTATATTTATTTTTAAGTAATAATAGAATATTTTGTCCTTCCTTTTGAGACTATTTTAATTTATTTATACATAATTTCTAATTTATTTCACAAATATTTTGGAGTGTTATAAATAATTAGTTTTAATAAAACAATGTTATATAGTTTAAAACATATTTATATTAAAAATGCACAATATTTTCATGTTGTCAGCCCTGGACCCGAGACAGGGACCTTCATTGCTGGACATGTGGTGAGTCTACCTCTCATACACTTTCAACGAGTGTTTGCCATAAAAACAATAGCATTGAATGTACGGTGCATTTGGTCTTATTATTGCATGCATTTTAAAGGTAACGTTACGTACGCTTACATAACACACAACACATACACACATACAGTACATGAGAGCGGAGTCGGTGTGTATTGAATGCATCGGATTTATGGCATTAATTAGATATTTTGAATGCAATTATAAATAATAAAAAGTGTTGTTTTTAGATAAGCATAAAAAGTGTGCAAATAATACAGCAGTGAATGTTGTGTTGCGTTGAGTGAAGTGAATGTTTGGCTAAGTATTGAATGTATTGAATCCGCTGTTCATTGCAGGCCATAAAGTGTCACACCTTTCGCGTTGTGAACACCACTCGTATGTGTCGTTCAATACTTGATGTCTTGTATTATTCAATATTATTGTCATTAATATAATTGAATCTATGATTGCATAAGAAGTAGTGTCACCTCATTATCCACCAAACAATCGCTGTTATAATACACACAATATATTTGTAAGCGTTTATTGGTTTTCACGACACAAAACACTCGCTATTTGTTTGGCAAATGAAATGTGTTTTTGATGTGAAATCATAATAAAAAAGGCAACAAATTATTGCTCACTATTTAGTCAATCATTACAATCGTTTCGACACTCAATTCATTGTATGTTTTGCTTAATTGTTGTCATATTTTATGTCATTTGAAACTCAAAATATATGTCTAATAATTAATGTCTTTGTTTTCCGATTGAATCGCTAAAAGAAATGGCATTTCATTGAGTC